CGGGCCGCGGCTCGCGCGGCGCCCGCTGCGGCACTGACGTCGCCGCCTCCTCCGCAGGCGCCGCGAGCCCGGCCGCCAAGGACAAAAGAGCGGCCGCGTCCCCAGCGTCGCCATGAGCCACGCCGAGATGGGCAAGTTCAACATCTCCCCCGACGAGGACAGCAGCAGCTACAGCTCCAACAGCAACGATTTCAGCTACCCGTACCCCACCAAGCCGGCCGCCATGAAGAGGTCAGCCGCGCGCCGCGAGCCTGCGGTGTTGACACGCGTCGCGGGTGGCGGAAATGAGTGCGGGAGGGAACGCGCACAACGCGGGCAGCAGCCAGCAGAGACGGGGGACGGGAGGGAGGTCTGCTGGGCTGCCCAAATTGGATAAAAACACTAAAGGCAATTCACACGACTTGATTGTTAAAAATGAACATTTCCTTACAGCCGGTATGCAGATATTGATCCAGAAAACCAAAATTTCTTACTTGACTCTAATGCTGGAAAGAAGAAATATGAAACTCAGTATGTAAGTATTATCATAGTGCTAAACACTTGCTTTCTTGCCAAATGGAAAATGTTTGCTTTAATTCTGAAATAAGTGATAACTTTATAATAATTATTACCTATCTCCCTTTTCTCAGCATCCTGGTACTACTTCCTTTGGAATGTCAGTATTTAATCTGAGCAATGCTATTGTGGGTAGTGGCATCCTTGGTCTTTCTTATGCCATGGCTAACACTGGAATTGCTCTTTTTGTGTAAGTATCTTTTGGTTCATCAAAAAAGCCTTCTGCTTTGTAACTGATACTTGATAAATATTTGAGGTAAAACTTGACCTTTACAAAATTGTCACTCATTGCTATAGGCACAGAATGTTTGTGTTGTTGTACTCACTGAATGTTTTTAACGAATATTGTGACATGGGCAGAAAGAAATATATGAATTAAGCAGATACCTGGCAATTTACAGTGAATTTTCGTTTACTGTGTTAAGCTGTAGTTGTTATTAAAAAGAAAAAAACAGTTATTATACAAGTGGGAGAGAGAGATGGCAGCCTGAAATCTGTATTTGTTTTGCTCTCAGAGCTCACTGACTTGAATTAAGTGAAATTTCCTGCCATCATTTGTGGCAGTAGTCATAAGAAAGAAAAAAAAAATAGTAGCAAATTAAAATAATCCTTATCTTTCTAGATTTTTCTTTTATTTATCTGTTGCAAGCCTGGCCTTATCTATTATGAAAGTACTATGAAAGGTTCCTGTGAAAGGTTGATACAGTTATTCCTGCAGAGGTATAACAAAAATCAACGAAAAATGCATTCTGCCTCTGTACTTGACTCAATTTGTGGGGCTGGTTTCAGCTGCGTGTGTAAAAACAGCTGGGTCTCAGCAAGGGACTAAGGGGAATTATCAGTATCCGCAGTCTTTATTGATGTATCCGTACTGGTAAAACCCTTGGAGTGCGGGGCAAGGCCACGGTAGCAGAATTGGAAATGACGCAAGTAAACAGTTATGTGCAGCACAGCCCGCACACCATAGGACTGGCACTAGTGAGATCCCTTGATATGTTTAAATGAACTTTGTGTTTCATCCTGGAAATAGGTAAACGTACTGAATGTTCGAGAACAAATGAACAGTAGCGTTTATCTTCAAAATTTAGTTTACTCTGTTGCTAGATTTCCAGACTGCTGTAGGTCAGATTCCTTTTCAGGTATTTCCCAACATGCTGGGTTGATGTTTCATTTTCATTGGAAACCACTAATAAATAAAGTTTTGGTCTGAAAGATTTTATTTTAAATATTTGGGTTTTTGGCTTTTTTTTTGGTAAGACTTTGAATTACTTAAATGATACTGAACTATGAACAACTTAACATAAATTAAGTATAGAAATAGTTACTTCACCCTTTCACACACCAATTTCATGTTCTAAAGTTGTTCTGCAAAAGGCGTAGGATAGCCTGCATATAATGCATGTTACAGAATCTCTGAAGGGGGAGTGGTAAATGAGAGAGAAAAAAGAAAGTTTAATTGATATTTGAACAGTTTTCCTTCTAATTTTGGTGTTCCTTCCTTCTCTCTCCCCCCCCCCCCCCCCAAATGTTCAAAAATATCTTTCAACAATCAGGTGCTAAAGTGATTTGTTCAGATGTGCTTACTTATATTTTCCAGATACTGCATTTTAATGTATTTTCATTAAAATTGATTTAAAGGAAAATTAGTTTGCTGTTATTTAAAACTTAAGTGTAGTTACTATAGTTCAGATGGGGGAAAGTGGAAATACTAATCACTGATCATACTGAGGGTTCATAATTTGGAGTAGCATAGTGGCAGGACAGGCATCTTTTCAATAATTAGGCTACAGATTGAAACCTGGATGTAGTGGATTATGAGAGTAAATTCCGAGACGACTCTATGAGTTGGCTTGTCTGTGAGGTCTGCTAAATGGATGAGTGCTGTGGTTTGGAAGCCAGAACCCAAGTGAGCTTCTAGAGGAGTTTAGATGAATATCCAGAAGCGGTACTATTTAAATGAAATGCAATCCATAAACATTTAATTCTACTGTTTCTGGTAGATTGCTGAATTATATCCTCCTTAATATGCATCTTTCACAAATACAGAGGTATATTTGTGTTCTTTTGCACACTGCCACAGACACAGTAAGACAGATTTCCTAGATTACTTCTACAGGCTTGTGAAGCTGTTCTCGAATGTTCTTTATTTCCGGTTTTCAGGCTGCATATACTGCTTTCACAAACCTGCAAAATCATACAAAGAGAAATAGAAACTGGGAATTCAATAAACTGAGTTTCACATTTTTGAGCAGATGTGTTTTTTATTAGGTTTACTCCTCTATAAGCAGGATGTTTTTATTATTACAAGAAGGAGTGTGTGTGTGTGTGTGTGTGTGTGTGTGTGTGTGTGTGTGTGTGTGTATGATGGACCATAGGTTCCCTCTGTGTTCTTCAGCTGTGAAGAGCAGTCCCCCCTAGCGTGCTGCTCCAGGAAGTGCAGATGTTGTGGTACACTTGAGCGATTTGTATTTTAGACATTGTAAAAATGTGTGTCTGGAAATAATAACACAATCTCACACAAACCCTGTAGGAAATATAGACAAGCCGCTGGCAATTCCCATGTAAGCATACATGAAGAGGAGTTCTTGAGCAAAGCATTTTTTTTCTTAAAATCAATATATACTTCTCTTTGATTTCGAACATACTCAACTCTTAACATACCTTAATTTTAAATCCGTTCTTTAAAGAATTTCACCGTTTGGTATTGCATTAAAAAAAAAGTCACACGAGTTTAAATTTTAAAAGATGAAGAGAATGTTCCCTTGCCTATTTAGTCACAGCTCTGCTGTTTGAGAGAGACGTTACTACTGAACTATCAGAGGAAGAGAATAGAAGTAGTTTCTTGCCTTCACACTAAACCGTTTCTATTATTAATTTGTTAGATAAGGTGTGTTAAATAGGTCCAACTATAATGACCTGATTCTTATCAATGCTTATGTCACTTTATACTAAAAATAAACATTATTTAATCCTACATTCAGATACTTCTGTGTGCCTGTCAAGTGAATTTTAGTATAAGTCTTTCTAAATAGGCAGTAACTGTGTTTTCAAAACTCTTTCAAATAGCCTTAGAATATGCTTTTTTTTTTTACATTATATTTTTAATACACATTTATTTTAATGTTGAGTTTTACCATTTTTGTCCTAAAATAGTAACTTTGCATAATACGATTATGGTGAGCCATTCGTGATTATTAAATTTAACTTTTTTTTTTCCTCTCTCCCTTAGGATACTCCTGCTATTTGTCTCAATATTTTCTTTGTATTCAGTGCATCTCCTTTTGAAGACTGCTAATGAAGGAGGTAATACAGAAGATTATTTTTCAAACAAATACTGATAATTTCTTGCTATATCTGTGTAGAGTACCCCTGGATATATGATTCTATAGTGATATAAAGGATATAATGGCTTTTATTTTCTTTTCTTTAGGCTCTTTATTATATGAACAATTAGGAATGAAGGCATTTGGTATGGCTGGAAAACTTGCTGCTTCTGGATCAATTACAATGCAGAACATTGGAGGTGAGGATAAGATTTAAGAAATGCCTCTGTTTCAGTAATAATTACTCCCTATTCTTGGAGCCTTTTTTTCACACAACATGTGTTCATTAACTGCTTGTGTTCAAGTGAAGTTATGAAACATGTTATGTGATTCTTGCATCTTGTACCATATTCTATATTTGTAATGATCTATGATGTTATTCACCTACAGCTATGTCAAGCTACCTCTTCATAGTGAAATATGAGTTACCATTGGTCATCAAGACATTTATGAACATCGAAGAGAACACAGGGTAGGTGTTAGAACGCCTCATCAGAGACACTATTAGGAGAAAGAAATTTGGAGACTGTATACATTTTTACGTGAAGACCACGTTCGATACACCATAGGGTAGCTTCTTAACTCAGACAGAGATACAGTAAGCTTGCCCTTCCCAGAGTGGTCCATCTGACTTAAGTCCAGCATGTCCTGGGAAAAAAGGGTAGAAAAATACAGGTACTGCATCATATTACAGAAAACTGCTCTTTAAAGTGTGTCAGGTAAGTGCTGATGAATATACCACTCAGTACAGACTCTCAGTAATGGAAGGTAAATACGATTGTGGTGTTTTGATTTTTTTTTTTTTTTTTTAATGATTCCAACTAGTCTGGGCTGATAATTTTGGGGTTTTTTTTTTGATGTTAATATTGTGGGAATTTCTTGAATATAAAATACAGTTCCCTAATGAGGATCTTAAAAGATAGCTTTTGGAAAGGGTCATGGGGTGTAAACACTGGACTTGAGCAAGAGTTCAGGTGCCCAAGACCAAAGTAATAGTGTTACTTTTTTCATTTCAATAGTGTTACATGTTTTCATTTAGCCTCAGTAACGCCTGATCTCTGTAGGGGCTTTCCTGTTTGATTTTAAAAGTTGGTTCCTTGGATTGGGTTCATTTGAGCCACCATAATAGCATGAAAGTTAGATACTTCCTTCAAATGAGTTATCTAGTCTCTCTAATCAGTGGAGAGAGGTGACTGTCCCCAGTGGTCGGTTTAGTGCACCCGACTCAGACACCTGTTTTGGGCATCTCGCAAGAGCCATTTATCGAATCACTCTGTACTGTGAGGGTGTGTCAAAACAGCTATCTAAAACAAGATGCCCCAGTTCAGATGGATAGAGTTAAGTGCTATAAATCTCACCCTTCAGAGTTGTACTTCTGTGCCTTGTCCTGAAGTGGCCCAGTCTTGAGAGGGCTGAGCAACTCAAGACTCCAACTCACGCCTAAGCCTGAGTTCAGAAGGTAGGCATTTTTCTGCCTGTGTTCCCCAAGGGGTTCAAGACATTTGGTGTTCTTACAGTTTGATGATAATTACTGTATAGAAGATGGTGCTACGTATCTTCTTAATTTAAACAATGGATTTAAAGGAAAAAAGCACCTGCCCTATTTGTTTTACTATATAGTGTTTATGATTTTTTTTTCCCCTCCCGAGATGGTGTATTTCCTTTCTCTGGCTGAATTCAAGTCCTTATTTTCCACTTCTCAAGACTTAAGTCCCTGCAGTAGGTAATATTAATGAGGGGGCTTGGAGTCGAGTAATTTTTAACTGTCCTCTTCAGAGAATTCAAAATCAGCTGTGATTCAAGAGGTGACTGTATGCTGACTTAAAGTAAATCTTTTCTCAGTGTACCGGCAACTGTGGACCCTATTTTAAGGTATCTGACTCCATATATTGCATGGGGTAGTCTGGATGACTACCATTGACATGGATTCCATTCTGGCAGCCTGGTGCCTAAAATGTAAGCATTTACACCTCTTCAAATATCCCAAAATAATGCTTAAATGGGAGAAAATATTTTGAATTTGTGTAGCAGTATAACAAATATTAGCTCAATTATTAAAATTCACATAATGATTTTTAAGACACTCTATATTCATTTACGCTGTTGAGTTCCCATTCTTTGCTGTTCAGCACAGAGAAGTCTGAAAGTTCTTATTACCCTGATGTGATCCATGCACACAGACATTGCACATTACTGTGGCTGTGTCGGATGTGATGGTGCTGAAATCTGGCTTCCTTTAAGTTTGCAACTAATCCCTTTTCTTATGAAAAGGAGGACAGTGAAGCTAGCCAGGAAAGGAATATCACGTTAATGTCTTACACATCTGAAATCTCTAAAATACATTTTTTAAATTGAGCTATTCCAAGTAAACCTGGAAAAGAGATCACCAACTTCTCAAAGCAAGTCTGTTAAAAGTTATTTCAAGTTTCCACTTACTGTATACAGACTTAGAATTCAACAATTGAGTTTGAATGCCCCAGTTTCCAATAGCACCGTTAAATACTCTTCATTTATTTAAGTAGTATGCAATCTACTTTGAAATACATGCTTTTTATTTATCATTCAACTGCATTTATTGTTATTTGGGATAAATACTTAAGTATTACTGGGGCTATACCTGCATGTTCAGGTGAAGAAACTGGTTACCCTGCCACTATCCAATGTTCAGTTCAGCTTTTCCATTACTTCAATGAAGTTACATCACATTTACATTGATTTTTGAATGGAGATGATCCTATAACACTCCAAAAGTCTCTATTAATCAACAAAAAAGAAAAAAAAATATTGCTTCTTTATAGTGGAATAAACAAGAATGATCTAAATGATGAAAACCTAACACAGTTTCTGTATCATAAGGGACTGAGCCTGTCCCTAGTAGACCTCCTCCATCCCCATATCAGTTGAGGTTTCCTCAGCTAGTAGGCTGAGCTACCGCCTTAACTCCAGCCCCCACCTGTTTTTCTTGAAGTTCACTCACAGAGCACCCAACAGAACTGTATTATCATTAAAAGTGGATCACCACCCTGCTGGGGCCCTGCAAAATTTTAATACATCTGAAAAAATGGGAACCAACACTGAACCAAGTTTATTTTTTCTTTTTTTAAATAATACCTTTATGTTATTGATCTCAGTTGGTTGTTTTTTGATCAGCCCCTTACCTTCTTGTTTTCCGACTTCAGATGCTTCTTTTAGAAAAGGACACTAAAGGAAAGGCACAATGCAGTTTGGGGGTGAGATGGGAAAGCAGCTGAAGGGTTTTAGGTTCATAGAGTAAGTTGCACACACCAGACACTGTATTTCTTAAAATAGGCGCATGTTATAGGAGAGTGTAAGTGAGGAGTAAGCTACAGATGTCATAGTTTTAAATGTTTTGATTACTCACCTATACTACGTTTTTCCTACAGAGAATGGTACCTTAATGGTGACTACCTGGTGCTGATGGTGTCCATCATTCTCATTCTTCCTCTGTCCTTACTGAAAAATTTAGGTAAGCCATGAAGTACAATCAAAGTAAAACCATATTGAAAATACAGAAAATACAGGGGGAAAAAGGGTTGGTAAGATGTTGGGGTCCTGCAGTGCTGTGTGAATCAACAGCTGTCTCTACTGACTCATCAATGTTTAGGTAATTAATCTCTTTTAAAAAAAGTGTTGAGACGAGTATCTCTTCAGGTTACAAATATGTTTGTTGAACACAAAAGGACAACTAATCAAACAGCTCTAGAGCAAGGATCAGAACTACCTTTAGTCTGGGTAGTTTAATTTATTTCCTCTTTGGATAGTAGTGAAATAGTATCACCAGTCATTAAATAAAGTCCCTTAGAGTTGTAATTAGCTGCTTCGTAACAGTCTCACAAGAATGTTGGACCTGGATACTGGCACTGTGCAGTTAAATTGTCTTTGAAATGTAAATAAACAGTCACCAGATGCCTTATCTGCCTTATCTGAAATGACTTTAAATTCAGTGACATGTGTGAATTATTCAGATAACAGATCATCTGTTTAAAGAATACTGTAGTGCAATCTTAAACATAACCAAGAGTTGCAGTGTGACTTACTTCCTTGAGTTACTACATTCTACAGTTAAGAAATGAAGCACAGACCATGCTGCCTAGTAGGTCTGGAAGCTTGCAGAGATGAGCAGTTTGAGATTAGCAGAAAGCAAATGAATAATTAACTACTTATTTTTAAAAACAGAGAAAATGGCAGTACTGAAGGATCACTTCAAAGAAGAAATCTGTCATAATGTTGTTGCACCATAAATATATTCCTGTTCACCTTAGATTTTATTTTTTCTGTTTCTTCAATACAGGATATTTGGGCTATACCAGTGGTTTTTCCTTACTTTGCATGGTCTTCTTCCTGATTGTTGTAAGTATGATTGTAATCTTTCAATGATTATAACACAACATTTCAAGTGAAATGAAAAACAGTTTCTGGAAGTTTTCACATACTGTATTAGATAAACCTATGTTATGTTCTTATTTCTAGGTAATCTGGAAGATGTTTCAGATTCCTTGTCCTATGGACAGTGACATCATGAACGTGACTGTAAATTCAACACTGGTACCTTTAATAGATGAAAACATAACAACTGATGACATATGCAAACCAAAGTACTTCATTTTCAATTCACAGGTAACTGACTAAAAATGGCCTTTCTGTTGAAGATAAGTAGAAGAGAATATACGTGGGGTACAAACTAGGTCATTTTTTCCATTCTGATGTAAGCTGGGAATGTGGTAATGCTTTCTGTTCCAGTAGAAATAGGCACTGGGCATCTCCTGCAGGCTGAGTATTTCTGTGCTCTAAGTGCATGCAGTTTAGAGGAGCTTCATGCCTGCCTCACATGAATGGCAGTAAGCACATGCTGTAAGATTCCTCGGCACAGCATTTCTCAAGGTTTATGTATAGCACAGTAGTTCCATTCAGGGAGTATAGAAAAGCATTGGGGGAAAAAGAAAAAACAATAATAAATAAGTAGGTGGCAGAAGAAGATAAATGGTGTGAGGGTGTGGATGGAAAATGCGTGCTGGGTTTTGGGTGAGGCTCTTAAGTTCCCAGTCCCAGATTTTTGCCTCTCAGGATGCTTGCAATTACAGTGCTGAATCTCCATGTGTGAGAAAGAAGTTTTTGCGATAACCAACAGCAGGATCAGGCAATAAGGATTCAGATGCAGAGTGTCTCCATAGAAATACAGAGTACATTCAGTCCAGAGTGGACTTCAGGGAGAGTTGAGAGTATTTGATACCTCAGGATTTGAGCTTCAAAAAAAAAAAAAAAGGTGAAATCCATGAAATGTTATTTAAACATCTGCCAGAGTTTCAGTTAGTTTCAGCTATTCTTTATGAAGAGCCGAAGGAGATATCTAAGTCAAAAAATAAGAAATTTCTGATGAGTTCTTTAAAACCTGATTATGTTCATTGAGATATCTAAAAAGCATATTTTTGTTTTTCAGACTGTCTATGCTGTCCCAATCCTAACATTTTCTTTCGTCTGCCATCCTGCAATTCTTCCTATTTATGAAGAACTGAAAAGGTATGTTGGACATGTTTCTAATTTGGCTATACAAATAAGTGCTGTAAAATAATTATCTTCTCACTGCTAACAATGTTTCTCTTCCTCTCTTATTTTATCAAACAGCCGAAGCCGTAAAAGAATGATGAATGTGTCCTACGTTTCTTTTTTTGCCATGTTTCTCATGTATTTATTGGCTGCTCTCTTTGGATACTTGACATTTTATGGTGAATATTACTTTCCCTGTTCTCTTCTAAATGAGTTAAGCTATACAGAACCCCAGTGCTATTTTTTTAAGTTAGAGCAAACATGCATTGAATTCTGAATGCACACTGTATATATCAGTATTTTTTATAAATACAGACTCAAAAGGAAATGAGTAGTAGAATTAAATTGGAGTGGATTCAATGTCTGCAAGTTACCCCTCTTTGAAATAAGACATCCTTACAGAAGCTGAGAAATTTTCAGTTCATGTTGCTAAAACTGCAAAATACACTTAAAATTTTCAGGAGACGTAATAGCTGCTTGAGAAGTAGGTTACCTGCATTTGCCTAAACTACTGTTTTCATTATAGGAAACGTTGAACCAGAATTGCTTCATACCTACTCAGCTTATCTGGGTGCTGATGTTCTTCTTCTCATCGTACGGCTCGCAGTACTTATGGCTGTAACCCTAACTGTACCTGTAGTTATTTTCCCAGTAAGTAACATTTTTTTTTTTAAGTCTTACTGCTGTATTTTATTGTTAACTTCTGTCCTTCTGCACCTACGGATTTGGCAACTACCATTAATTAATAAGTAGATTTTTTTCCCCTAGCTGAAAAAAAAAAGTCTTTCTAAGCTGGATGAAATATTTGTATGTCATCAGTTGAAATGAATTATATAAATATGTGACATTTAAAGCAGTAAATTCAAATGGGTTTGGTTACACTGTATTTCTAACATGACTGAATTGCAGGGATGGGTCAGCTCATTAATTCTAGAAGCCCTTGTACTGTTGTTATCAACTTGCTAATGAAAACCTGCTGACTGACACTTGTACGCTATAAGTGAATTTTGGCCAATTACCTATATGTTATTGAGCAGTATCCTTTTTTTTTTTTAGTAGAGATAACGAAAATAGACTAACTGCAATGAGAAGACTAAATTCTCTCTTTCTTTCCCTCTTTATTTTTCCTCCCTCTCTTCCTTCTTTTAACAGATCCGCAGTTCTATTACCCAGCTGCTGTGGGCAGGAAAAGAGTTCAGATGGTGGCGTCACTGTGCGATTACAGTTGCTCTTCTGACGTTCACCAACGTGCTTGTTATCTTTGTCCCTACCATTCGGGACATCTTTGGATTCATTGGTAAGTATTTGCATAGAAGATCAGAGCTTCTTTGAAATCTGAGAAAATTCAACTACAAGTTAGTAAAGCTAAGCATACCTGTTGGTAAAAAATAGTATTTTTGTGCTTTTCAAATACAGGTGCATCTGCTGCTGCCATGCTGATCTTCATACTCCCATCTGCATTTTATATCAAACTAGTCAAGAAGGAACCAATGAAGTCAGTGCAGAAAATTGGGGTATGTATAGACAAATATATAATGGTTATACTTATTCTTTAATTCAGAGCAAGAAATTCAGTTTCTTTCCTTAACTAACCTAAGACTTTGGAAATCCTGATGAGTGTTACCAGTGAATTGACACTTAATATTATCTTAATTAAGATATTAGTTTCATATGTATTCCAAACTGAGAACATCCTAATAAGGTTTGCTCACTTCCACCCCAGCCACAGCTGGGGCCGCTTCAGCTACATTGAAGTCATTCTTTTGCTCACTACAACCAGATTTGAACCGATTTCCAATAGATATCATACAAGAGAGTCTTGTGGTTGTCACTTAATTTTTTTTTTTTCAAGATTGTTTTCTAACTTACCCTCTAAGAGCTGACCTCCCTTTGATCATTTTGGCTCGTCCTGACTATATTGGTGCCCTTACTGATCTGAGATGCACTGGCTCCGAGTCCAGCCAGTGCAGAGGGGCAGAGCCTTGCTCCTGTCAGCAGAACTGCATTCGTTTCCCTCAGCTGAGGATGAGGTCTGCTCTATAAAAAACAAATGTATTTATTTGAAAATATGAGAAGGATTCCAAGTCTGAAGAAGATTGCTATCTCTTTATTCTTTACTGTGATCTTTGTCCTTTTTTGCTAGTCGTTCCTTCCTTGCTGAGCAATTGAAATTTTAAGCACAGGGCTGGGATTTGTGCCACACTGGGCATGATGTTGTAGATTCAGTGGCGGAAACTGAAGTGTTTTACTTTTTCTCTTTCCAGGCTGCACTCTTCTTTCTGAGTGGTATACTTGTGATGACTGGGTGTATGACACTGATTATTTTAGATTGGACCCACAATGATGCATCTGATGGCCATTAATTGTCCTGGTTTAATCTGTAAAACTCCACTTCAAATGCCAGTGTTCACTCAGATACCTACCGAGAGTGAAAATGAGCTATTCAGCTTCCTTTAAAATGCAGATTCTTTGTTGCTGGTTCTTCTGACTGTAGAATACCTGAACCTTGTCTTTAAGAAACTATTCTGCATGATGGAAATGGATATTAACATCAAGCCACAGGAGTGTCTGGCTGAAGGAAGTGACAATTTTATTCCATTCCAGAGAATGGACAGAACTCTCTGTAGACTTTTATCAAGCCATGTTTGGCTTTTGTCATTGTTACTTGGATATTTTGTTATTTTACTTGAATGTGCCTAATGGAACCATTTGATGTGAGAAATAACTCGTAATTTACAACAAAGTGTTTGACTAACCAATGAGAGAGAGAAACACTATTATTTTTTGTACCAAAAATTCTTATGGACCTCAAAAGCACTATTTTGACTTTAAGAAACATTTTTCTAAAGAGAAGGAATAACACAAAGCTCTCAAAAATATTTAATCGGTGTCCTAAATTATATATAACATGCCTTTCTGTAGAGGCAGAATTAGAAAGTCTTATTTTAAAAAGTAATGACCAAAACAGAAAAAGAACAACCAATTTAAGTCGAAAACCTCTTCGTTACAAATGCTTTCGATAGAATTCACTTAACTTGAAGTGTAGTGAAAATAATTCTCAATATCTTTACTCAGTTTACGTGAGTAACTACAATTTATCTTAGTTTCTGAAAATGGTAGGGAAGCTCAAATTTTCAAGCTTTAAAAACAATTCAGAATGGGTAGATTTGAGAAAAGTATAGTTAATGTAGAACCTATAAAGACGGTGTTGACATTTCCCTTCTTGAGGTACTCAATAGTGCAATTGGGTGAAACAGGGTTTGGGGGTTTTTTGTTTTTGTTTTTGATTTCTTTCAATTGCAAATACAACCTGAATGGCACTGGAGCACATCATGCCATTAATACAGAACTCCCTCCTGGAGTCTTCTGTATCCGTTTATAAGGTCCACTGTCAGTTGTAGCTCTATTTGGTGTTTTTTTCTGCCCAATCTGTCTTGGAACATGCCATAAGAAAATTTTTGTTAAACTACTAATGTAGTTTACTAGTTGTATAATATTCAAAAACTGTACAGTATTTCTCAAATTACTCATCCGTTATTGGATTATGAATTACTTGACTATTTTGTTTATAAGTCAAATCCACAAAATAACTGCACCATGCTTGGTACCAACTCTCTTCACATACACAACTGGGATTCCTCTTGCAATTTATACTGTATAGTAGTACTAAAGATAACCTCATAGGCTGGGTAGTCATCTCATACTTGTTTGCTTCAGAAATAGTAGGTTTCATATGAACCCTCGCTAGCTAGCTAATAAAACAGGTGCTGTATGGTTGTGATTAGCTGTTTCATTTCTCTTGCATGTTTACTCCTTCATTCTTATCCCAGGTTGAAGAGAAATAACACTTTTATAACGGCATACTTGGCTTATAAGAGGTTCTCAGACATGACGATATTGAGTACGAGAGCCTAGGTAGAGATTATTAATGAAATAGTCATGGCAATGTGGTCAGCTGTCTTCATCTAGCTTAAAATGTTCTTTCTAAAAATATGATTTACAAGATCTGCTTAGTAGTTGTGTCACAGGGAATAAGTAAGGGCATGTAATCCATTTGTTAAACAGCTCCTGAGATGTTTTGCTCTTCTAGAATCAATCAGGAACCAACCTAAATTATAGTCACTCTTTGTCAGGTAATGTCAATCTCTGCCCAGCCATTTAGAATCTATGAAAAAGGTGAGAATATTTTGTATCAATATTTCTGCATGACTAATGCTACAGGTCACTATTTCTGTAATATTTAGCTATAATGAGAAGTTAGATTCCTCATCTGGTTCGTATCTTTAGTCCAGTGGTACTCAACTGGCAACTAACAGTCCTGGAGTCAGCACTGACTAGAGCTCCTAGGTACTCTCTGCCTCAGGTACTTGGCACCGTGATACCTGACCTGTGTACGGGTGTGCTCGGCACGCGCCTCGGCACTCGGCAGCTTTTCCTCTTCCCTCTGCGTACCTGTAAAGGTGGGAGAGGATTAAAATGTTCTCTACCTTTGAGCAATTTGTAGCACAAGGGATGAAGCACTTCCCTTGCCAGCACTAAAAGGGGAGTGAGAAACAGCCTCCCTCCTCTCAGTAACCATGCAGGAGGAAGAGGGGTAGGTGAGCAGCTACTGCACAGCCCTTCTTGGCAGCCAAAGAGGAGGAAGGTTTTGTGGTGACAGCTCCTCGTGCTGTGTCATATGTGTCACTTAATTCTCTTAATGTAGCAACTTGTGGCTTTTACATGGTGTATCATATGTGATGGCTGACTCTCCAGCTGCTGCAGTTGAGTTCCACTTGGCTGGGCTGATTTCCAATATAAGAATAATTGTCCACACCTGTCTGCTTAAAAGTTGCCTAAATAACAAACCACCTGAAAGAGCAGCTTCAGTATTAAACCACTGTTTTGTCACCTCAGTTAGACATTACTGTCTTCCATGGTATTTCAGTCATAAGTGTAACATGTTATTTATAAAGCATTAATCCATTAAAACTAAGCCTATTTTTCAATATTTATGATAGTCTGTGTACATAAAACTGTATGTGTGTATATACTGTAAGTATAGTGTATATAATGTAGGTTTGGGATTTGGGATATGTGTATATATTCCTCTCTCATCGATTATTGCGTCATTTCAATGAGTTGTTCATGTTGTACATCTGTATCAGAAATGTCAAAGGAAAGGTTCTTTTACAACAAAATGTAGTGCTTACAAAGTGGAAATAATGTGTTTACACCTAAGGTGTGTAAAAAAATAAAAACACTAAGATTGTATTTATTACAAATGTATATGTTGCAGTAAACACAGGAGTCACTTGGGTCCATAAAGCATTGTTCGAGTTCATGTATGATTCTCATGTAAGATTTACCATGGATGTTACAATTTCCTGAAGGCCGTGACGTAAGAACCCTTGTGCTCTCGCGTATGCGTTAGGCCATCAGCTTCAGGCATCCTACGGTACACCCCTGTACATATGTAAATAGCCACTGTACTGTCAGAGGCCAACAGTCCAGCTACAGTTGTTGGCAGGGAGTGCAACAGTTTCAATGAAACATTGTACGTTTGTTTTAACTGAAATAAATAGGTAATCCTAAATGGCAGCGTGTGTGGTGTGTGTTTGTTTCCATCAGAGTGACATACTTGGGATTTTTTTTTTTTTAATGAAGCTGATAAAATTATAGCTTTAATTTCATGCCTAAGGCGTGTATGAGCCTTAGAAGAAAAGTTAGTTGTTTGGGGTAGGTTGTTTCTTTCAGTTGCCAGAGCAGTGCAAACTGAACTGGACATCAAAGAAAATACGGCATGAAATTCTGCAAGAAACCTGTACTATGTCAGTATTTACCGTACAGGTCTACCTCGAGAACAGACTCATTGAGTTTGTCTTGTCTATGCACAGTAGAAGAATCCTGCCCAAGTTGAAAATTTCATGCCTTTTTGGTGTAATTAACCATAAGAGAAGTTGCACACCTCTATTGAGATTGCTTTAATTACCTGAACGTACGGTATTTTTCCCAGTGGGACCTCTGCCGCAATCTCTGAGTAGCTACTCAGTATTTCATTTTTGTCATGTTTGGTGATGTGGTCAGCCATGTGTTTGAGAGGACACTCTCAAACTTGCTTGTTTGAGCACCTGCTTGTTTGCTGTTTCAGCATTTACTTACCTATTTCCACAGTGTAATGCCAGCTGATGTAAGACAGAGGTTTTGGGTGATCATCACTTAGAGCCTAAAGCAGCAGGTTGGACATCTGAAAAGCGCGTTCACAGCTGGATGCTTTGTGCTTGTAGCTTCCCGGCCATCTCACAGGAGTTTCATAGCTGTGTAGAAACCATTATCTTGGGATACTTCTTAATGACTAAACCCATCTTTCTGCAAAAGGGCATCTCCAGCAATTTAACAAGCAGGCCTGCGGTTGTAAGAACTCTTTCCAAGCTGTGATTTCTTCCCAAGGACTAGCTTGCCCCTTCTGGTGCATCAGGGAGGTTGCAAGGATTTCAAAATCAAAGAATTTTGTCAAAGCCAGAACGTGCTTTGTGTAACAGTGTCTCTACAATCACATGCTTGGAATATAATTTCCCACCACAAGAGTGGGATTAAGCTGTCGCTTCACAGAATCGTTGAGGTTGGAAGGGACCTCTAGAGATCACTCTAATCCAGCCCTCCTGCTCAAGCAAGGACACCCAGAGCACGGGGCACAGGGCGGCATCCAGGTGGGTTTGGAAGATTTCCAGAGAAGGAGACTCCACAACATCCCTGGGCAGCCTGTTCCAGGGCTCTGTCACCCTCACAGTAAAGAAGTTCCTCCTCACCTGGAGACGGAACTTCCTGTGTGTCAATTTACACCCGTTGTCCTGTCCCTGGCCACCACTGAGAAGAGCTTGGCCCCTTCCTCCCTACATTCACCCCTCAGGTACTTACACAGATTAAGCAGATCCCCTCTCAACCTTCTTTTCTCTAGGCTGACCAGGCGCAACTCATTCATTCTCTCCTCATACGCGAGATGCTCCAGTCCCTTAATCATCACTTGAAGATGGCTTATAAACCATAGAGGATTGCTCAGACTTGAGTCCTCTGCAGTTGAGAGGTTTCTTCCAGGTTCCTGGAGTTTTACCTTTTTCCACCATCCTATCCAAATTTCTTCTGTCCCAGGCTCAGACCCAGTCACTTCACCTCCAGTCGCTTCACTCCTGCACCTGGTGCATCTCAGCAGATCATACATTGAGGCTCTGGTCGCCCAGGTATTGAGCTCAGAAGGCAGCTTGTTGGGCAGCACAGCTCTCAATCCCTATGGAGCTTCCACTCTTCCACAGTTATGTTTTCACTTAGTTCCAATTTAATTAGTTTAGTTCCAACTTAGTTCTAATTACTTCTGCTGCCCAGGTGATCTTGTTCTTCATGAACTTATAAGTTCTTCATGAACTTATATATGTCAATCAGATCCCCTCTCAGCCTTCTCTTCTCCAGGCTAAACAGGCCCAACTCAGTCTCTCCTCATACAAGAGATGTTCCAGATGTTCTCTGCTGGACCCTCTCTAGCAGCTACACATCCCTGATACTGGAAAGCCCAGAACTGCACCCGAACTCCAGGTGCGGCCTCACCAGAGCTGAGTAGAGGGGAGGATCACCTCCCTTGACCTGCTGGCAACGCTGGTCACCTGCTGGCACCTTGACCTGCTGGCAACACTGGGGAGGCCTCCACTGGCCATCCCTCCACTTCCAATATTTGCTCAATCCCATGTGGACACCTTCAGCAGCACAGAGAAGACTGGTTCCACTCAGGCACTTCCTCATCCTCCTCCTTTATTCAAGTTTGAAGCCCTGATGTACAAAATGGGATGGGAAATATTTCCAGGAAAAAAAAAAAATTGTTTTAACTACATAGAATGCCTTTTAGACTCTAATTTTATTCTCAAGTGGGCCAAATATTTTTTTTTTTCCACCAAGACACAAAAATGTCATTCTGCTGCAGCTATTAGTAATGAAAAATTTCAGCAGGATTATCTCAAGTTAGGAAAGGGTAAAAGGAACAAACATAATGCAGTAAGGAATCTGTCATTTTCAACCCTACTTGAAAATGGTATTTAAGTTATAAATAAATGTTTTTATTTTAGTTATTACTATCTATAGTAAATAGGGGGAAAAAAAGGGATTTCCCATTGCAAAACATGAATAGATAATAAATGTTGAATATGTACTAAAAATAACATAGAAATTCATTATGGATCTTAGGAAGGAAGCGTAGATTATATAAATATCTTTTTGGTGATAATCTTCTTTAAATCTTTAAATCTTCTAAACTCTAGATACATCATTTGCAAACAGCTCTGAGTGTAGAAAAATAAAATAGGGCAGGGAAATGTCAAGCGCTTTGGGTATTCCCAAATCCTCAGAAGTTATTGGACAAGAGCAGATGTGATCAACCATGATTCTACTTTTTCTAAAATAAATACCAGTTTGTGAACAGCCAATATTGCTCCTTCCTGTCTAGTTCAGTAATTTCATTCCTCGATAGAGTGTTTCCCAGGGCTGGAGCCCAAGTCACTGTAAAACTATTACTCATTAAGAATTACACGCTCCAAATGCAAATGACACAGGTGAGAGATGTATTTAACTGGAAAACACTGGAAAATACAGGGGGAAGCTCCTCTGAATATCAACTGCAGGATGCAGTGATGCCAGACCAAGTTGCCAAACAGCTCTTGAAGGCTGTTGTTCTGTGCAGATATTTGTGGCAAAGGAGCAGCGCCAGGAGCATCAAGGCTGTTGATTACTTAGCACTAGGTGGAGAGATCAGACCAAAATGCCTTGACTGAAGGAAATGAAGAAATCTGCACTAATTCAATCAACTTTTTTTCACATGGCAGCACAGGCCACCCACCTCAGCTGTCATTTCAGTAAGCTTGTTTTGGACTGACGGGGAATTCTCATTGCAATGGTTATAGCATGGAAATACTCTTTTCATCAACCTGGTGGCATTGCACGGGTCAGATGGTTTACAGACTTCAGAAAGATGCCATTTTTATTATACTCTTCTAAGCAGGCTTTTAGCACCACAAGTGTTTGAGCTGCTTGCTACAAGCAGCTTGTAGTAAGCGATTCGTGTTTGGAGTAGTAGCGAGTACGGCTTGAGGCAGCTCAGACCAAGTTTGTGTGTGCTTGCATGTACACCGGAATAGAGGCTACAAAGGTTCTTCTAGTCTGTTCAGACTCACGTGAAAAGACTGAGCAATAAAAGGCCAAACAGAGACATGAACCCTACTGAACCTCTCATGATGGATTCTGTAAAGGAACAAGAAAACTTAACTCCCACTTTGTACTTTTTGAAGCCTGTACTCGCACCATCAGCCACAGCAAACTGTCCTTTAGTTCTTCTGGGAGAGCATTTGTTTCAGGCATGAGGTATTTCACTCCTTACTCCTTCAAATCTCAAAGAGTTGACTTCAGCTCCAAAACTGTTACGAGGAGGAAATGCAGCAGCTTTTCTTCCCAAAGACCCTGCCCCAAACCCTGCACTTCTGCTAAAACAGCCAAGGAAATACAGGCTGTGTCACTAGTTGGGTTAGTGCCTATGAGTTAGTGCTACAGAGCTACCGACCTCAGCCACTTAACACAACTTCTAATCTTTGCTACCACACATTTCCAGCTCTTATGGAAGGTCAAATGCATCGCTTTGCTATTCCTGCACTCAGCAGAGCCAGTTTCCATCTTGGGGTTAAATTTCTTGACCCATTTAAAGAAGTCATATGTTGGATCAACATACTGCTTATCTCTGAGTCCCACTTGGGAGGTCCTATGACGGTTATTATGCCTGAATGCAGCCACTGCTAGAATATCCATAATATTCTCTCCTGCAAATTTCAGTTTGTCAGGGAACTGCAGTCGTCTCCTCCTTTGTATTTTCTAGTGGCAACCTGGCTGCTTTACTAGAACTAAACTTCTGAAATATTTTTTTTCCTACTCCAGTACATGTGAGAGTGAGAAAGAATCAGATCTTACTTTTCTAAACAAAAAACTTCGCAGTAGCCTGAAATCCTACTGGAAATTTGCCTGTTGTAGCAAAAGGCATCAGCAACCGCTTTAACAATTCTGATTAACTTCTAGTTTTATAGTTATCGAATAAAACTTTTAAAATATAGTACCTAAAGTACTTCTACACATGGTTTTGTTTC